CGAAGCAACCAACATGAACCTGACACAACTCCGGGAGGCAGTGGAAGACAGGAGGGCCTGGCGTGCTCTGGTCCATGGGGTCACGAAGAGTCGGACACGACTAAACGACTAAACACACACACACACTTTCCATTGTTTGGATCATAAGTAGATATGAAGTGATTACTTTTTCATAATCTTCCTGCTACTTACAACTCCTTCCAAAAGGAGTCATTCTTTAAAGATGAATATAATGCTCATTTATTTATTCTAATTCATTTAATTCTAGGCCTGTGTCTTTCATCTTGGCCTGTTGTAAAGTAAACTGTGACATGACCTGCACATTATAGGTGGGATATACGTGGTCAGAAACTGTCTATTCACATCTCAGATATGGGATATGCATTCCGCTGTCATAATGTATTCTTGAACATTAAGGCTGCAGTCCTACATATACCTGGAATAGGTAGGATTGGAATGCAGTCCAATGTAATTCAGTGGAACGTATGCCAACCAATAAGAAGTATTTATTGCTTGCTCAATAGTAAAATTCTCATATTGGCAACGGGAACTTAGCAGCAAGTACGTACAAAACCCAACAAAAATACATATAATAAATCAGATCAATGATAAAAATATAGGAAGGCAGCAGAGCACCTGAGTGGATTTTGCTATGAATAAGCATTCTTTGGTCTTCAGTATGTGTGTGTGTTCTCAGCATATAGTACCAGCTCTTTTTGATTCATGGCTTATATTACGCCTAAGAACAAAGAGTGGATTACTACAGTTATTTTACGTAATCTCTCTGGACAAGTCTGTACTAACCAGTCAAAATGTTTTCTCGCAGTTAATGTACTAAATTCCACTCTCTGTATTTGCAGGCTGAACAGTATCAAAAGAAGAATCGGAAGATGCTCGTCATTGTCATTCTGTTCGTTATAGTAATTGTCCTAATTATTGCTCTCATTGCTGTGAAATTTCGCTAGGCAACACTCCGACGATGTTTTCCTTTTTTGTATATGTTTTTTTCGAAGGTAGGGGGTGAATTTTTGTTGGTGTGTGTGATTTTTTTTCTTCTTCTTCTCCTCTTTTTTTAAAATTTCCTGATGTGAATTGTTGAACGCTCTTGAAAGCTGCCTTCTGAATGAATGTACGAGACCTAACGGTGCAATGTTTCTAGGGAAACCCCTTTCCAGTTTATAAGTTCAGCAAATGCGAGAGATAATGGTTGGGAAAAAAAACATGGACAAACAAAACTGGAAATTCTGAAATAGGCTAACAAATTAGACATCTGCTTATACATGTTCTTTTTTTTTAAATTAATGACTCAGATGTTTCAGAAACTGTAATGGTTTCCATTTGATTTGAGAACTCAATGGTATAGTACGCCATCTTTTTCACTAAAATGAGTTTTAGATCTTGTGGGCGATCTTTGAAGATGATACCAAAAACTTTGGTTTGGAGATAAAAATGCCTTAAAGATAAAACTAGTTCTATATCACCTGGTTTTCCTCCAGATAAATAGCAGATAGTTCTTACTGTATGGTTTCATATTGTTATTAACTTCTAGAGTTGTATGTATGATTGGCGTGTTACTGTTTAAACTGCTAATCAGTGCTAAAAATTTAAATCATCTTCTGAAACCTCAAGTAATCAGCAGCATTTTCTCCAGTCTTCTTCCACTTCAACACCACGCTCTTGAATTGATCATGGCTGTTTTCCAGTTGCGTGTGTTTCGAAATAGTGTATTAAATCCGGAGCTCAAAGCAAATGATTTGCTCTCCTTACCTCACACCCTCCAAATCTGTATCTGTTATTCTAAAATTCTGGCACACTCGATCTTCAGCTTTTCAATAGCGAACTGGAAAAGTTGTGGTGGTAGGTACAACATGCAACTTACTTTGGATGCAATAAGGCTACCTGTGTGTCTTGTCAGTTAGCTGTTTGGCTTGCAGGAAAGGCTCAGGAGAAACCTAGGGTGATTTTTTTTTTAAAGATCATATTAAGTGCTGTTCTACTGGCTACTGTGCATCAGGATTCTTTTGTTCCTTTGATAACCAGTATCTCTGCAGGAGGATGATTTTAGAATACAAAGAGTTTAATTGGTTCCTTAAACTGCTGTGCAGTTTTTAATATTTTCAGACTGTAGATAAGTGAATCAGTGGGTATTGATTTTGAGGATACAGGCTTTCTACTGTACCAGCTTCTTGTAAAAGATGAATGGGGAAATTGTAGCCCTCCAGAAGTTATTGTGTTGCAAGCCCCATCAGGTCTATTGGGGAAGAATGCTTGGAGTTGTAGTTCTGTAACAGCTAGGGAGATGCACTTTTTGCCTACTGGTTCTGAAAGCATTTTCATTATCAGATGTGTTCTGGCCAAGCACATGAAAAATGCCATGTTGGTTCCTGGATAAAATTACACGAAGGAGAGAGATGCAATTTCACTTGCTGTCAGTTTCATGTACAGTACAACCCCTGTATCTGCAGGGGATTGGTTCCAAATTTCCCCCACGGATTGCTGAAAAACCATGGAAAATAGTGAACTCTATATATAGTATGGTTTAAAAAAAAAGCCAGAAAAAAAGTATTTTTACTATGTATTATCAGAACTGGCCACTAGAGGGGGCCAGAGACCATGCTATGTGTTCTTCAAGAATACACAGCATAGTCTCTGGCTCCCTCTAGTGGCCAGGTCTGGTGAAGACATGAAAATATGTATTTCTAGTTTGGTTTTCTAAATACAGTGGTGCCCCGCATAGCGACGATAATCTGTTCCGGAAAAATTGTCGCTATATGGATTCGTCTCTATGCGGGACAAAGAAGCCCATAAGAATGCATTAAAACACGTTTGATGTGTTCCTATGGGCAAAAAACCTCACCGTTCTGTGAAAATCCTCCATGCGGCTGCCATTTTCGCTGCCCAGTAAGTGAGGAAACGGCGCGAAAACACTGTGGGCGGCCATTTTATTTACCCGGTGGCCATTTTGGAACCGCGGATCAGCTGTTCTTAAAACATCGCTATGTGAAAATCGGTAAGCGAAACGCTTACCGATCATTGCAACGCGATCACTTTTGTGATTGCAAAAAACACATTGCTATGCGGATTCGTCATTAAACGAAGCGCTCATTATGCGGGGCACCACGGTAGTTTTAATATTTTTCAGACTGCGGATAAGAGAAACAGCACATATAGATCCCATGGATACAGGGGTCCTAATGGGTATTAAATACCTAGCATGGATTAAGCGTTTGTAGGGATTAAAATTGAACAGCCTTACATGGAGAAAATATACCAGAAAGGGCTGGAAATGGAAGAATAAAGAAGTCGATTCATATGGGATTTGAACAGTGGCTTCAGTCTTTAAAATATTTTGTAAAAATGGTAACATATGGAGGGGAGGGAGAAAAATTGGGCAGGGGGAGTGAATACAGACAATATTCTGAGTATAGCATTCCAGGGACGGTGGAATCTTTGTGTGCAGTACAAAATTTTTTTTAAAAAATCTATCTACTGAAAGCTTTATAGGAGAGCTTTACCCGGACTGCTAAGAGATGTGTTCCTGATGTCCCACTGGTTTATTGTACTTGATCCGTTTCTCAGCATCTAGCATGCTGTTGTTGTTAGTTTTCCTTTAACACGAATCAACAATTGCTTCGAGAACTGTTCGCGTGAGTAGAAAAATCATGTTATCTGAGGAGGACTTCATGTAAGAGATGTACATTCCAAAGAGGGTTTGCAGATTTGAAATCCCATTGTTCATCCCTCATGGTTTTCTGTAAGACTGGTGTCGTTTGGATAGAATAAAGAAAAGGTGTATTTAAAATTATTTATTTAAAATGCAAATGACTTTCAAGAGATTTTATACTGTTTGTAATGTTTTACATGCCAGCCTTGTCGTAGGTGCTGCACATTTAATCTGCCAAATGGTTTTAGAGAAAAGACCAGAAAGATGACACTGGAGCAAAAGATTAACAGATGAATTGATAAGAGATGTCATCATGGTCGCCATGCCGGACTCTGCTGTGTGACTGTCTCTCCTGCGTGTGGGGGCCTTGGTGGAGTTAAGGGACCTCCCTAACCTTTACTAGACTTTAAATATAAAAATACTGCATGTAATTCCTTGATGCACTATTTCTGTAGCAATACTGCTCTTTAGAAGTGATTCTGATTTCTAAAATAATTTGGATTTTAAATTTAAGTTAGGCGAATGCTATTTTTACTCCCTTTGCACAGCTGGAAATGTAAGCCTGAGAATTACACGCCTGGTGATCCAGAAAATTTGTTCTTCTAATGTGATTCCACATAACATCATCAAATTACAGGAGGGCCTCCCCTTCGCCCCCCCCAGCCCTGGTGGATACTGAAAAACACAGGGCACTAGTGGCCAATTCTGGTATTGACATCAAGGAAATTTCTCTAGTAAAGGCTATACTGTAAATACTGTGTTTCCCTGAAAATAAGCCCTAACCTGAAAATAAGCCCTAGTAGGATTTTTCAGGATGCTCGTAATATAAACCCTACCCCAAAAATAAGCCCAAGTGAAGTCAAACCTTGCCCTCCACCCTTGTGCAGCAACCAGAAGATGACTGTAAAATAAAACATCCCCTGAAAATGAGCCCTAATGCATATTTTTGGACCCTGTCTTATTTTCGGGGAAACAGGGTAGCGGGATTTCTGGCTCCCTCCAGTGGCCAGTTCTTGCAACTTCATATACATATAGCATATAAAATATTTTCAGACAGTAGATAAGTGAATCAGCTGATACCGATCCTGTAGATAAAGGATTCTTACTGTAGGTGCAACCCTTGCCTAAGTCACTTCTCCCGCCCCCCCCAATATTTTCAGATGTAGATAAGTGAATCAGCTGATACGAATCCTGTAGATAAAGGAGTCTTACTGTAGGTGCAACCTTTGCCCAAGTCACTCCCCCCCCCCAATGTGATTCCAGGGCTCATTGGCCCAATCCCTTCAGTCTTACACACTGAAAAGGGGAGGAGGTAGACTTTTACATTGAGAATCCTGGTATACTCAATGTCGATTCTAATGTTCAAATGTGCACAAGAGGTCTCCCTGAATTCAGCTGCCTCTGGCCACTGGCTCTGATTCCAGCAGAAACCAGCCTTGTCTTTAGTCATGGCGACTTCTAACCTGAAGCTATGGTGTATGTCATGTAAGGGATGTCATGTTCTGCCCAGCTGTGTACATTATATTTTCTCCCATTTCTGTGCACAATGTGTGATGTATGAATAAATGGTTAAACTCCACCCTCATGTGCTAGATATGTTGCATCTCAAATCCAGTTCGCTTCCAGAGATGTTCCTAATGCATCTGATGTGCGGCTGTTCTGTATCTGTCCGTGTTATTTAAAAAAGAAAGGGGGGGGAGAACTGAGGAGGAATCAAGTCTGAATCAATTTGGCTAGATTCTTGACTGGCCAAAGATGATGATGATCGATCGCAAAGGCATCAATGCACCAACCTACAGTGTCCCTCCTCTGTACAGCCAACGGGCTTGGAACTTCAGCAGGTCCAAGGGCCCAGTTTTGAACCCTCTGGGGTGTCGAATAAACATTTTGTCCCCTCTCTGTGTGTTTTAAGAAGGCTCCTAAAAACATCCTTTAGAGAAGCCTTCTGTGACATCCCGGCCAGATTTTATGCCTTGTATTCGATCTTATCTGATCATTAAGCCTCTTGTATGGAGTTTTATAGTCTCTTGGGTCTAAAGATAACCTTATTGTAGCGGGGTGATCTCTTATTTTGCTGTAAACTGCCCAGAGTCGTGTGCTGCACTAATGGGATGGTTTATAAATTCACAAGACAAACCAACCAACAAGATTTGGGCTTACTGGGCCTAATGAGATGTCAGGAGAAATGGCACTGTCTGAGCATCATCAGCATACTGCCGTTCCAAAAAAGGGAGATCCTTACTCTTCTTCTGGATAGGACACAATGTGAAGGGCCGGTGTAAAAGCAGTGCTCAAACACTCGAAGCTGTACATGTTTTTGGTTTCTTGCAACTAACTACTGTAGAACAAGGTTTCAAGGAAGGGGTTCGGTTCCCCTTCCCCCTTTGCAGTCTCTCTAAAGCCACCACTTAGGCAGGAACTACACATTTGCAGGTAACCCACAGTAAGCTTGACATGCAGAAAAAACATGTCCCCCGCTCCCATAAGAACAACGTCACCAACCAGTGGTGAAATAGCTGGGAAGCCTTCCAACACTGGTCAGCTGGCAATGGAAGTCTTCATGTGGAAGCCCTTCTTCCTCATGAGACTTGCTTGTTCAGCAGGTGGCTGGATCAGGGCCGCAGGGGTGTGTGTGTCTCTCCGGCTGTCAAACGCCTGCTACCTCTGGGCAAGCCAGGCCTGCAGAGCAGAAAAGGCTCTTCCACACCACCACCCCGGCTGAGTGCACAGAGAGCCCTACTGCAGTTTAAAAGCGGGGCCGCTGGGCTCCATTTTAAACTCCAGTAGAGCTAGCATCGTGTGAACCGACAAAAATGGCTTTGCAGCCCACCCGGATTTTTTTATGGGGTGGAAGACTTGATCTTGGTGATGACGGTGGGTCACGGGGCAAATGCCCTTCATGTGTTCCTGCTGGGCTGCTTTTCATGGTGCAGTTATAGCTGTTAACAGTGAGGCTAGTTTTGCTCAGGCTAGTTTTAACAATCTTTAGGGTTGGATTTGGTTTTACTGGGTCTTATTCTTCTATGAAGATTGCAAGCCAGCTTTGAGCACCACTTTGTAGCAGAAAGATGTATAAATTCACCCAACCTGGGTAAGGGGCAGCCGATGGAGGGGTTTTTTTCAGGAGGACCTATTAAGTCCTTCCTGCGGTAGGAAAAAAAACCCAAACTGTTAAAAGGGCTGTTCATAGTTATCAAAAAAGAAACTAACTTCAAGGCATGATATCTGATTTGGCTGCAAAACACTGGCTAGAAGCTTAGTTACCTTCAAAGATTTTTGGACAGCTACCCAGTTATATGCCAAGTTAACAGGTTACTCAGAATATTATACTTCTCCCTCGAATCTCCCGAGCCTGAGCTGCACTTTTAAAGGTTATACACAAATCTTTTTTTCCAATTCATCAATCACATCTTGCTGTTGATCTCCACCAAGTGTCCTCGAAAGGCAGGCCTTGGACTGACCGAGGCCCCCGTTGGTGGCATGGTGGCCCCCAGCCCCACAGCGGTGGCCCAGCCGGCCCCGCTCTCCTAGCATGGTAGCCGGGTGCTGAGGCACGCTGGGAGGCTGACGGTGGTTGAGGGACGTCTGTTTGCATGTGTGAATCAACATTTTATGCCTTGCCATTACACCTTTGAGGGCACAAGAGTTATAAACAGATTGTGAGCTACATGGGGGTCCGGTGCCTCTAACCCCAACATAGTGGAAGGGAGAAGCGTACATGGCGACTGACCGTCACATCCATCCATACCTTTCCGGCATCAAGAGTTCAAACTCGGCTTGTTTTCATTGCATTTATTGTATTTAAGTGCTGTACACAGAAGAGCTTTATAAAAGAAATTTCTCTCCACACCAGACCCTCTACGTGTTTCACTGTACAAGGCCAGCCTGTGTCCGCTCATTCAGGCTGAGTCAGATTAAGTGGGGTTGAGTTCTAGTGCCAGCACTAGATATCTACAATTGGCACAGAGGACTTAAAAACCCAGATACTCCGACGGAACAAAAAAAAAAAAACCACAAACACCCAAAGAAACAGAAGAGAAGTTGCATAAAGTTAGCATCCTGCTTTGAAATGGGCACTACACTCTATTTTCATCAAGCCGATCCCGGGAAAGACTTGATGCCCTTTTCGAGCCCTGCAGACGCAGCTCATTTTCCAAGGTCTGCAGTCGTTTAAGAAGGCCAAATCGCTCACCTGCAAAACAAAACAGTCTCTGAACAGCCATCTCTATGCACAACCATAAAATGAAGTTACAAACCCCAGTGTATCAGCACAGGAAGCAGAGGGGCTCTGCCATTGGCTTTGGTCAGCAACCAAGATTACCTTATCTCTCTCTTTTTCCCCCCTATTAGCCAGACAGTTCAGCTTTTGGATTTTAACCAGGAGGCAGGGCCCAGCCTATTATTATCTAAAGATCAGCACACCCTCACGAGGAGGAATCCACAACTGGATCCATCCAGATACTTTATGAGATGGACAGGCGAAGCCGGAGGCTTTGGGACCAAACGCCAGCACCCCACCCTACACGTCACGTTGCAACCATGCCTGGATGGACATTTTTGGCTTTGGGGAGGAAGAATCTCGAGGCGCAGGGGTTAAACTGCAGTACTGCAGTAGAGAATCTGCTCGTGACCCGAGTACAATCCAAATGGGCTCAGGGGGCCAGCTCAAGGTTGACTCCGCTTTCCAACCTTTGGAAGTTGCTAAATTGATTCAGCTGTAAATGGCCCAGAGAGAGCTTGAAGCACTACGGGGGAGGAATTTAAGCAGCACACTTTGCTTTTGGGTTTGCCTCACTTTAGCAAGAGACCCACATGGTTCAGGAGCAAAAAAACCCCCAACTGCCCCTTGAAGTCCTTCCCCCCCCCCCCAGCCAATAAGCAATTTTAGGGCTTAGAAAAATCTCAGAGGGTTCAGGCCACAAAAATGTTCTAGGACACTCTATGCTGCGTGCATTTTGCCTGCTCCTGACTAATGACAATACAGGAAAAGAGATTGCACCAAACACACTCCATCCCCTAATTCAAGGTCACACAGCCCTCCCTGCAGGCGGCAGCTTGATATGAAGAGTCACAAATTAAAACAAAATCAGCCAAACGTGAGATGATATCCCTCCAAAATTAATCTACAAACAGCAGTAAAAAGGTGCATTTCCCCCTCTACTATTCATCAGCAATCCCTTTAAATTGTGATTAGATAAATTCAGGGACCTTAGTGCTATCACTGGCAGCTCCTTAGAACTGCTCTATGTCATAAAATCATAGAATAGTGTTGTTGGAAGGGACCTAGAAGGCCATCCAATCCAACCTCCTACTCAATGCAGGAACTGAAGTCAAAGCACATCTAGCACAGGGTGGGTCCCGTTTTCTCTTGGATGTGTTGGAGCGCTCACCACCTTCACAGGTCCTGAGTGCCATTGTCGTACTGCTCTAACAGTTAAGAAGCTTTTCCTGTTATTCAGCCTAAATCTGGCTTCCTGCAGCTTGAGCCCATTCTTAGGCGTCCTGGACCCTGGGATGATCGAGAACACATCCTGCCCCTCCTCTCTGGAGGATAACCTTTCAAGTATTTGAAAAGGGCTGTCACATCTTTCCCCCCCAATCTTCTTTTCTCGGGACTAAACAGGCCCAGTTCTTTCAGCCTTTCTTCACAGAGGTCATTTTCCAAGTGCCTTCGGTCATCTTTGTTGCCCCCAAGACTAGAGGCAGGAGGCTTCCGCGTATCGGTCATTGAGCAACGCAAGACAGGATGGTGCAGCGACACTCACCACCCTGCTGACTGTCTTCCTGCAGGCAAGAAGAGCCCTAGACTTTGATCCAGAACGGCTGTTTTTATGTCCTTCAGGTTAAGGTCAACAACAAAGGAGAAACACTTGCCATGCTCGTTGGGTAGCAGAGATGCTAGCCTGCAACTACAACCAACTGTGGTGTTCTATCACCTTTAAAACTCTTAAGACATATTTCCCTGTACAGGATGTACTCACTCCATCTTGATATCCAAGCGGTTCACTGTATCTTTGTCCACATAGCGGCAAAAGAGGAATAACAGGTTGCTGGGGAGGTGGAGTGGCTCCGCCATGGAGGCCTTTGGCACCTGAGAGAGCTCCCTGGCCACGAGGAGCACTGTGTTGACCCTAGGGAAAAGGAAGGGAAAAAGCAACAGTAAGAAAGAGGCACACCCCCCTTCGGAAAAGGGAAAGAAACAACGACCGTTGCTGTGAGGCCAAACAACAGGACTGGAGGGTTTTGCCAGCGGATCCAAACTCACCATTTTTCAAAGTCTCCATTGTGTGGCTTGACAGGCAGGCTGGACGAGAGACATCTCTCCCCCTGGCTGAGCAGCAAGTACAGGAGTGAGATGGCAAACTTGAGAGGAGGATGAGAGAAGAGGAAAAAGAGAAAGGAACATAAGTACAAGTAGTATCCACCCCTTATCCGTGGCATCAACATCCACAGATTCACTTACCCACAGTCTGAAAATAAAGTGGTGCCTCGCTTTACAATCACTCCGTTTAACGACGAAATCGCATTACGATTAACTTTTTGCGATCGCTTTATGATGTTTATGGGGGAATTTTGCTTTGCGGTGATCGGTTCCCTGTGTCGGAAACCGATTCTTTGCAAAACCATGATTTTCCTCCAGCTGATTGGCGGTTTCAAAATGGCCGCTGGGTAAACAAAATGGCCCCCCACTGTTTTCTGGGACGGATTCCTCGCTGCACAGGCAGAGAAAATGGCCACCCTATGGAGGATCTTCGCTGGATGGTGAGTTTCCAGCCAATTGGAATGCATTAAACGGTTTTAATGCGTTTCTATGGGCTTTTTAATTTTGCTTTACGACATTTTCATTCTACAGCGATTTTGCGAGGCACCACTATTAAAAATAGTAAAAGAAAAATCTTAGAAATACAAAGTCTAAATATGAAGTTATTAGAACTGGCCACTAGAGGGAGGCAGAGACCATGCTATGCATCGTACATCCCGACATATGACCATTTCAAGTTACAAAAAGCTCTGGCCCCACAATTTTGCTTCAACTTGCAGTCGGAGCTTCGAGTTGCAACCAAAAAAGAGCAGAGAAAAAGGCGGGGAATTCAAATAGTGTGTGTGTGTATCGGAGATGGCTTCGGACTGCCTGGTGCTGCTTTCTGCTCCTGGGTGAGTACATTTACAGGATTTTGCAGGGTGGGTTTGGGCTGGGGGGGTTATGTTTCCAGGGGGTTTGTTTTATTTTGATTTATTTTGCAGCTCCATCGCGTTCCAATGGGACTGGCTTTGTCTGTTTGTTTGGTGATTATTTTTTACAGCCCCATCACATTCCGGTGGATCTTGCAGTGTTTTGGGGTGGTTTTCTTGGGAATTTTTTTTTAAATGCTGGAACAGATCAATCACTTCCCCATAACATTCCTACGGTAAATGGCCCTTCGACTTACGACCATTTCGAGTTACGCCCATCTTCTGGGACGGATTATGGTCGTAAATCGAGGCACCACTCTGCAAGCTACTTTTGCTATAATCTACATTTTTTCAGCACCAACGGGGGGGGGAGATTGGAACTCTTACTGTAAGTCAGCTGCTACATCAGCACCAAAGCTGCTTCAAAGTCAAGCTGGAAGTTGCAAGAACTGACTTATATTGATCACATGTGGCATGTATCAGACAAGGGGAAAACTCCCTTCCCACCTCTCAAAGCCCAGATACCTCCAGCAAGAAATATCAACCCTCTGCCCCTTCTATAACGCACCTTATTTCCAAGCACCATAGCAAGTGACTGCTTGACAGATTCCGGCTGCAAACTCGTTAGCTCCTGGAGGATGTCAATCAACTCACTGAAGGTCAACCGCTCAATGACTTCCCTGAGAGGGCCATAGAGAACGGGCAGTGCCTGTCACACCCCACAAAACATGGAAGAGGGTGAAGCGAGAAGTGGTAGATCAAACCCATTCGCCTTACAACCTCCGAGAGGCTACTACATCACACTAACGGAGAAAGAGGTACTGCGGAATCTGAATAAACAATTCTTAAAAATACAATAGCTTAAGGAATTCGGTATCTGGCTGCAAAGCCAGAAGTTGGGAGTTCTATTCCCCCATGGTGCCCTCCCAGGAGAAGAGCTAGCCTGGGTAGCCTTGGGCAAGTTTCACAGCCCCAGGGCGCCCCCCTGAGGGAGGGAAGGGTAAAGCACTTCTGTGTGTTCTCTACCTGGAAAACCTTGGGGGGGGGGAAAAGAGTCACCCTAAGTCAGAACTGACTCGACAGCATCTGATGATGACGACGACATGGAAGTCAAATACCTCATCCAGCATATCCTTCTTAATCAGGAGATGCAGGTGCTGCGCAACAGCAACCAGGACCTGCTTGGCTTGCGCCTCCGACAGCTGTGGCAGGAGACGGGCCACCAGCCTCTTCCCTTTTCCCACCAGAAGGATCTGCAGGAACTCATCCTTCGTCTCCCTGAAAGAAAAGACCCGTCGGCTCAGTGACGTCTCCCATCGCAGCAAGAGGAGGGGGGGCAAAGCACCAAAAATATGCTGTGTCTGGGGTGCAAAAAAAGCCCACGGTGACCTTCTATGGACTGCCAGCTAGATCTCAAGCAGAACATACGACCTGGGATTTCAGAGAACAGAACCTTTTCTGGCAGCTTTTGGCCTGTTAACTCCTCGTCACCAGTTAGGCTACGAAGGGCTGACGGGGGCTATCAGGCAAAACACCTTTGGAGAGCCGAAGCCCCTCGCTCTCCGACTAGCCCGCTTGACTGGCCAAGCGGAACCTAGCCACGGGAGGACAACTCTCTTCCTCACCCGACATCATTAACCCTCCTGCTGTCAAGATCTGCCAAACTCACTCTTCCCTATTGTGCTCTTTGATTCTCAGAGTGCGGAAGATACGGTCCACCTCGTAGGCAATCTTCTCACGAAAATGAGGGTGCTGCTCCTCCGTTGCTCGATCCAGTTTCCGCCGAATGTCCTCCACCGCTAACAGCCGAAGGTACATCTGTCTCAGGAGCAGAAAGACATGGTTAGCTCAGGACGGTGGCTGGAGAAGGCCGTACAGTACCTTGATCCCCTGAGCATATAGGGCCTTACGTCCAAACCAGGTCCACTTCGGACCATGGTCTCACTCTAGCAATCTTCCAGCACAATCTATGGCAGGACGGAGATAAGCCACTGTGTCTTCTTACGTCCACGGTGGCTTGGAAGTATGGAGAAGGCTTTGGTTCCATCTCCCATGTCTAGAATCAACCATGGCAAGGACTCTGAAGTCTTCAACAGCAGTTCTCAGCTTTTAGCTCTCTCAGTCCTTTGGACTTCAACTCCCAGAAGCCCTCAGTTTGCATGGCCCTCAGGAGCCATGAGGCCAGAGGTTGGGAGTTTGATTCCCCCACTGGGCCTCCTTGAGAGGGGTTAGACTCAAGGATCCATTGGGTCCCTTCCAGCTTTGCAGTTCAAAGGTTATAAGAAAGGTTATTAATCTCACGATCTCTGGACTAATGGGGTCCGTGTATTGACAAGGGGTCTGTGGCTTTTCACTCTTGTCGTTATAAAGAATCCCACGAACAGAAGCGGCTACCCCCAGGGACTTACCTTTTCAATCTGATACAGCACATGCAGCCGCTGGTTCCCGACAGCCTTCAACGAGAGGAGGACACGTTGTTAAACTCAAAGTGAGCAGAGAAACCAACATCCAGAGTCTGGCATCCTTGGGATGTTTCACCAGGGGAAATCTCCAGTTATTTAGTACCTTCCAATAAGGTGGAAGCTGGCTGGGTAGTTCATTTTTTTTAAGGTCTCTGGCTGCAGAGCTAGATGGTGGGAGTTTGACTCCCCACTTTTCTTCCCACAGGAGAGAAAAGACAGCCCCATGGGGCCCTGGGTGAGCTGCAAAGTCTAAGGGTGGCCCCCGTAAGGAAAGGGAAAGGAAAACTACTTTTGAGAAAACCCCCGAAAAAGAGTCACCGTAAGTCAGAATTGACTTGATGAGACATGATTATTATTATTATTAATAAAGTGGAGGTTAGAATTCCACAGGCAAGTTAAGAGAGGGTGTAAATAAAAGCTAAAGGAAGAGATTGTGAATAAGATATACTAGGTTTGGCAACTTGCAGGGGGTTCCAAGGACCCATTTATCCTCCGGAGGAACTGATCCAACCACCCCTAACTGAAAACAGAAGTGGATTGGGTTTTGTGATTGACTGACACCTTTACGGTGTTAGGTAAAGAAAACATGGTGCTGGGTGTGTGTGTGAAACCAACCCTTTCAGCAGCAAGACTGGTTTTCCACGCAATTTGGGGGGGGCAGGAAGCAAGGATGCACTGACACCCCACCTCCCCACAAGGAGTTCGTGTGGTCTTTAATTTTTGGGCACCCGCCTCTGAGATCTGCTGTCCATCCTTACAGTGCATTCATCATCATTCGTAAGATATGCATCCAGGCTTGGCTCAAATCCCACTTCAGGAAAAGAGGAAGCCCCGGTACATGCCTGCTCCGGGGAGACGTGGTGGACAGCATCAATGGCCCTGCGGGGACTGTAACAGGTAGATACGGCCACCTGGCCCAAGGAGCCGGGGATCCGTACCACTGGAGAAAAAATAAATAAATACATAAGTCATCGTCAGGGTCCATCCAGCCTCTCGATCCATAAGAGGAGCTCCTCCTTGAGCAAGGCACTTACCAGATTCGTATGTTTCCACTTTCTGGATGTAAGGCGTGACTAGCTTGGGGATGCCAGGCTTGGACCCTCCAAAAAGCCCCTTCTCAGCTTGCTTGTGCTCCAGTTTGTGATAATATTCCTGGGGACAGGATAGGAGAACTCACTGCTGAATGCAGCATAACTGTTACCGCCCAACTGACGGCTCACTCTTCAAGAGTGCCACTTCTATCAAACCCGTCGTCAAGACCTGTCAAAACGGCAGTTCTTAAAGAGTTGCGTTTGACACGTGGCCCAGATTTATTCAGGGCATGGGCCCGTTTGCAAAGAACCACTGTTAAAACGATGTAAACATTATTTAAATCAATTTAACGATGTAAACATTATTTAAATCAATTCCCAGGAACATGATGCAGGGGTGGGATCAATTTATTTGGGCTGAAAAGCAAGGTGTTTTTTTTAATTGGCTGGCAGGGACTTTTTAAAATATCTCATTTCTAAATCGATTTAACTGCAATTGGTTTGGTTGATGGGGGCGGTGCTATCAATGTACTTTATGTCCCTGTTCAACTTGGGCAGTGTTGGCACTAATTTTTATGCCTCTATGTGTTGAAAAATTTCTTATACAAATGTTTAGCGATGCATCACTTAGTGCGCTGCGACTGCGAATGTGTTCTTTTTTTGTTGAGAGTTTATCACGGAATCACTTGATACATTCTGAATAAGCTCTCAGATGAACCATTCACAGCCATGGATTTCGTGATGCATCACTTGTTTAAAGTTTAAAATGGAAGTGTTCTCTTATAAGAGAAAGGAAATGAATCCATTTCATTGGTGTAGCCATCAAAACTGGTTTTAATGATCTAAATAAATCAAAGTAATTTAAGTCAAAGTGAACGTGGCTACTAGTATACCACATGACATCAACTTGTGTTTTTTTTAAGGCCACAACAGGAATTGATCCAAACTGCCACTGGAACCATGCCCTCAGAGGCTGCTATCCGTCTTCCTGGCAAAATGTACGGCACCCAACCGAAGAGCCCAACCCTGGCTCCTCTGATGAAGTAACTGAACTGATACACTCCAAGAGCTTGCAAACGCCACGTCCAGACACCTCCCCTGATTTTTCCAGCTCCCCAAAGGAAATTCTGCTCTTCCCTTTTACTCGCCTGGTAATAATAGTCATCCTGGTGAGGGTTTTCACTCTGCAGCTGCAGCATTTGCAACTTTATCACCCAGTCTTTCTCTACGGACGTCATCAGGGCAGCATAAGGATCCGTCTCTGGAGGCTGGGGTTTCATGCGAGGTATTCTTTGAGATAAGCAGGGACAGGGGTAAGGAACGTAGCCTCACACAAACTTGTCTCTCTGGCCCAAGATACCAGCCACACAGAGGGCGACAGACAAGGATTTCTGCACCCAATCTTTTCTGTGTTTTGCTGGACACATGGGCATGCTTCAAAGGCATTTTCTTTGTCTCTTTCAGTCAGTACAGGTTAACTGCATGGTACCTGAATAGTGCCGATAATTTAAAATAGTAGTTTACTATTCGAGACTGTATTGTAAGGTCTTGAAATAAATTCAGTGCTTTCATCCATCATATAATGCAGTGGAAAGCAAAGTGTGTGCCCTTAGCTACGTGCACCCCTTAAGGTTGTTTTTTTTTTTGCAGCAGAGGTCCCCCGCTCCTCTCCTTTCAAAATTGTCATATCCCCCGTCCAGCTGAACTCCAAGAGCAGATAAGTTGCTTTTAAATGCAGGCCCTGGTTCACACGGGAAAGGTTCATTTTGTCAGGAGCCATCTGCCTTAAAAGTGACCCTTCCAGCTGTCATGGAATTGCTCCAGTCCACCTTCCCCAAAAAACCCACCTTCCCCCAAAACCCAGAAGCCCTGGATTAGTGGGGTCCTCCTTGGGCATGGATCAGGATTGGGCTGGAGCATTTTTGCCCTGTATCACGTGATTGGCAGGCAATCACTTGCACTGAATTGCATCCAAACACAATCCAGAACGGGAGTTATATGCCCATGCGATTCTCACCTTCAATCACATTAACTTGTACATTATTTACAGGCCAGCACAAGTTGGAAACAACCTGATGGCGCATAAGAGCAATTCCAACACATTCCACCTTCCCAAATCAGAAGTACGATTCCAGAAATTGGAACTGTTTTTTCCTAATTTTTTTTTCCCCACTGTGAGTTTGTGGTAGGTCCTGGATATGCATGTGAAAAATTGGCTCCTGGCCCCTCCAGAGTTGCCCAACTACTGACATAGTGGCAGAGATGCTAAGCTACCCAATGATTCTAATGATTTCTAAGCCATGTGTTTTCTTTCGTTGTCTGTCTTCCTTTTTGTCCGGCTGCTCACCTTTTTTGCCCCCGCTGCCTTTGTGTCAGGATCCGTTCATGCAGAGGGTGCAGCTGCGTCATGGTGATAGGTAAGCTGTGAACAAAGAAGGAAGCATGAGGATTCATCTCCGCAGAGGAGCACCGTTGGGAACCTGTTTCTCTGCCAATGTTATCTATGTCATTTCTTGCCCCTCTACGCTCTCCATAGGACAAATTCTGCACAAAAGAAATAATGTCACAAATCGGATGTCAGGAATGGCAACACACAGAAACCTGTTTCAAATTTCATTTTAATTTAGCTGGACACTCTGCACTAGATCTGAAAGTTGCCATTCTGGAGAAGAAAAAATACAGGACAATCCAGAAAAAATGAAATATATACGTATGTTTAAAACGCATCTCAGTGGGTTCAATATAAGTCAAGGTTTCTTAGGCCATTATCAAATGCAAAATATTGTGTTGTATCTGCTGTATTCTCAGCTATGTTTCCTTATACTGATTAGTTTATCAATGCCATCTCACAAGCCCACTGGTGATTAGAGATACTCATTACCATGTTGTTACCTACAGCCTGCAATAAATTTAACCACCAATCATTTTCATTGTTTACAGAGGAATGCTTTCCGAGAAGAAAACTGAGTATTAATAGGGATCTTAAAGGTCATTGCCAGGTGTGAAATACCCCACTATCAACAACTTGTGTCAAGTAATAAATCTCTGTTTTGGAGCCATGCATAAATTCAGGCCATGTAGCCCCACTCTTGTCTGAGGAAGTGGCCTTGTCCATGAAATCTCACATTAAAATATAGCAGTTAGTCTTTCAGCTGCCACAATGTTGTCTTTTTTATTTAATTTTTCTTTTGTTTTAATCTGATACGCCAACTCACTTAGACTCCCATAATCCCTCATCATTGGGTATGTTTGCAAGGATTGCTGGAAGTTGTTGCGGATCGAAAGCACTTGGAGAGCCACAGCTACACCTCCATCTGCTCATCAGCCCACTCACCTGCTGCCAGGAATTAATTACACCGACACCTGCCCCATGGACTACACTCTCCATTCCTCAACAGAATCCATTCCTGGGTCTGCTGTACCTGAACTTCTGCAAGCTGTTGGTTGATGGACTGAAAGGCGGAACATCGAGTCCAGGAGTGAGAGACCAGGTCGGGCTGCCGACGTTTGGAAACACGGGTCTAAATGGAGGTGGAGAAGCGTAACCTGATGGCTGAAGAGGGAAAGAGAGGGGTTTTTTTGAAGGGTAGCGACCTGTCACACACCCTGGGGCCTTCCGTTCCTCTCCCACTGAGGAGACCACCAAATGATATTTACTGATCCAAGCTGACCAGCAACCTTAGAGGGAACAGCCCCCTACTCTGCTCTTGTGACCGCCCCCTATTCTGAATTTTCTTTTTACAAAAATGTTGTATTTTATTTCAATAGTTCCCCCTTTGGCCCTCTGTAAAAAAATTACCAGAGGTTCAGAGGGGCCAAAGCATGCTGTGGGACCCTCAAAACAGGACAAAAAAAAATCTTCCTCCACGCCCTTGAGAGAATACGAGGGACCTACGAGCAAAAAGCCAAACCAAAGCAAAGCCATGGAATCTAAATGTTTGTGGGGTTTTTTTAAGAAGAAGGGGAAGAAGAGGCCTCTTGTCAGCAGAATGCCAAAACTACACATTACACAGCACTTCACCTGATTAAGGCCAAAGGCGCGACGTGTCCTGCGGGGTGGAGTAAATGGGTACGGTGATCTTACAGAGCCAGATGCTACGGGAGACTGCTGTGAGGAGAAGAGGACAGGAAAGGAATTACAGAAAGGGCGAGAACAGCTGTGAGGCAAACAACAAAGGCTAGCTTGCCTCCATTTCATAGGTGGACTAGAGATGGGCACGAACCGGTTCGTCCCAGGTCGTCAAGGTGGCAACACAGGTGCTCCACGGCTGCCTCTGGCTCAAACCAGGCCCAGCTTGCTTGGTTTTTCTACCTCCGCCACTGATCTCCCAGTCCCGGCAGCAGCTCAGCCTTCTTGGCCCTGCCCTCTTGGCTGATCGCCCAATCAGAGAAAAGGGCAGAGCAGAGACATCTGGGCTTTTGCTCGTGACTGGGAGATCAGTCAAGAAGGAGAGGGGGGGGAAGCAAGCAAGATGGGTCTGTCCCAATCAGAGAAAAGGGCAGGGCAGAGACATCTGGGCTTTTGCTCATGACTGGGAGATCAGCCAAGAAGGAGAGAGGGGGGAAAAAGCAAGCAAGATGGGTCTCGTGAATGGCTTTTTGAGCCAGAGGAAGCAGGAGGAGAGCAGCAGCAGCTATTCCTCTGCTTTCATGAATGGGGATGAACGAGTTCACGCCCATCTCTAAGGTTGACCCAACTCCACGGGCACCTGTCTCGTTTCACTACTAGAGATGTGAAATCCAGGAAAAAAAAGGGATGAGGAACAGCCCCCTCCCGCATTTTTCCAGAGAATTTTTCCCCAGTTTTCCAAAGAGACAAACTCAACATTCAGGGAAACCTAGAAAAACTTCCTAAAGAAATATTCTTCTTCAGAACAAAGGCACAGCTTTATTCACCCTCAATCCCAGAAATATGGAGAGTTGCGTGCAAGCCAGTCTCTAGAACAAGAGACCAGTGATTCCTGTAGACAACCACGAGACTCAGCTCCAAGATGTATTTCTGAAGCCTAGTGGGTGTTGCCACCTCCATGAATAGACAGGGAGATATTCACTGCTTGAGAAAAAGTCTTTAGTTTAAGACCAAAAGTGGTGGCTAGAGGTATATTCCCCAGAATAATCGCTCCCAACCTTGGGTAACCCAGTTGTTCTTGGACTGCCATTCCCAGAAGCCTTCGCCATTAGTTGTGCTGGCTGGGGTTTCTGGGAGTTGTAGTGCAAAAACACCTGGGCTACTGAAGTTTGGGAACCACTGTCTTAAGGCAAAGAAAGTCAGGTTTCAAATCAGTGTACATCACGGGCATGCCGGTAAAGCCCTTTTGCACCAAAACCTCTACTAAACGCAAGCAATACAGTGTAATCTCACTTGCTGGTCCACTCCCTACATTCCCTGTGGTGCTATAATGAAACACTGACTTTTAACAGTGTCAACATCTATGTCTAACAACAGATTTGCAGCACAGGTTGATCCGTAGTTGTGTAATCTTTATTTGCTTTGCTCTGGATTCCTGCCTTGAGCAGGGGGCTGGACTCAATGGCTGGATAGGACCCCTTCCAACTCAAATTATTCTATGATTCTGTGATAATCCAGCCCAACTAGTGAATTTTTAGAAGGTGAAAATCTCCCTGTGTGAAGGAAACAAAGGTTTCTTTGTTTGTTTGGAGACCTCCTGTCACCTCCTTGGAGGGGTATAAATTCAACCACCACATTTGCTTTAAGCCAGATTTTCTCTCCTTTGCACAATGAAGCATTTTGCTGGAGCCTTTTTTGGGGTGGGGGTGGGGGTGGAGTAGAACGAATGAGTGAGTGAATGAACGAGTGAAAGAATAAATGAATGAATATGCGCAGTACCCTGTTGCGTACTCCTGCTTACAGAATGAGAAGAATGCCATGATCAGGGGCAGATTGCTGCTGCCAATTAAAGAGTCCCCTTTTCCAAAGAAAGCCTTTAATCAGCAGCAATCCACCATTGATGATGATATCCTTCCTTGTGAAGGTGCAGCTCAGCACTAAGACATTGGCTTATGTGACCAAATTGTTAAAATAAGTTTTCACTTGATGCGTAAGGAAGTATTTCACATATTTCAAGGTCTTTCAAGGTTTCAGTTAAATTTTATGCCTCTAGTTCACAGTGGCAAAGGAACAGCCTCCCATCCCAGATATCAGTCAAGCAGGGCAGACCGTGCCGCTCATGCACAGCTCTGTTGTCTAAGACTCAGCAAATGAATGACTAGGGATTCTCCGTCAGCAGCTGCCAGCTGCTGCTGCTGCCTCACTCTGTTTCATAATAAGGCCAGGACTATGTACATAAGACAACTACCGTGCCGCTCATGCACAGCTCTGTTGTCCAAGACTCGGCAAATGAATGACTAGGGATTCTCCTTCAGCAGCTGCCAGCTGCTGCTGCCGCCTAACTGTCTCATAATAAGGCCAGGACTGTGTACATAAGACAACAGTATGCAGACAGAGTTTAGAACCTTTGCTCCAGAACGGGTAGACTTAAATGATCGCCTTGTCATCCTGGAAGAATCAATAAAGAACAGCTCCTGTACGGCAAACAGTGAAAGAAGCAAGATCCAGAGCAGAGATTCCCAACTGTGGGGCCTGAGATGTTCGTGGCATAGAATTTCAAGGACCCGTGACCACACTTGGTTGTGCTAGATAGCACTTGTGGGACATCTGGGGCCCCACGTTTAGGAAAGAGCAAGAAGCTCTGGGGCCCTGGTTTAGGAAAGATGATCTGCAATTTGTGGAACAGTGAGACCGATGATGAGAAGAGGCAGTTTACCTGCCGCATGAAGCGCTGCGAAGATGGCTTGACAGTTCTCCCACGAAAGACTGAACGCTCGAGGCCAGGGGAATCTGGATAGCTCATCTGCCCCGGTGAGGCTAGAAAATCTAAGTCAATGTGGGACGTGGAAGCCCTTTCCAGTGCCTGAGGTAGGAAACAACAAACATTTGCTGTATTTTCCCATGTATAAGACACCCCCAGGTATAAACCTCCCTCACTTTTCTAAATCAAAATTTCTTTCTTTGCAAGAAATGTTGCAAATGAAAACGTAGGGGGAAAGCAGAAATCGCTTTCCCCCTGCACTTTCTTTGCAAAACGTGGAGGGAGAAACAGAGATCCCTCCCCCTTCCTTCCGAGTATAGAACAACCCTCAATTTTTCCTTTAATTACATGGAAAAATACGGTATACAACTGGACCCACTGGTACTGTGATAGATACCGATACTATGATAGACTTTATTTTACAACTCTCATGATTTTGGTACACTTCTATAGTGCACTCCAGTTCTGCTGTGACAACAGTCTACAGACCAAACAGTCTCATAGGTCAGATTTACGTGAGACAGATTTCAGCTAATAGAACGGAATCGACCAGTTAGCATCAAAGTATCAATGATCTAGAACCCCATGCAACTGAAAATATGGGCCGAAATCCTGTTTACAGATTTCTCTACATAAAGCCAATGTCATCAAGCTGGGACATTGTTTTGAAAATTAAAGAGGAAATGTTTAATTCTATTCTGAGGCACTCATGGCTCATTCTGGCTGTTGCAATTTTCAGTAGTTAAAGACTTCCTCCTCCCATCCCACAGCTCCCAGCTTTCCAATGATGAAAGGATTACACAGGAGACATGGGTGCCTAGGGACACATGAAGCAAACATTTAAGTTCTGAAAAATTGCCACAAATGATATTTTCATCCTTATGCAGCATAACTTATATGAACAAGATTTCAGTCATTAGGTGTTCCTGGTATAGTGCAATGTAGGAAACAGTACAACATGATCTGGCCAGAGGTGTTCCTGGTATAGTGCAATGTAGGAAGCAGTGTACCCATATGAAGTGGGCAGAGGGGGATGGAACAGGGCTAGTGAAAGAGCTATTACAGAAGAAACAATCCCAGGGGATAGGCAGTTATTGTTTAGCTAGCAAAACATACCATGAGTATGTTCCTCTACTCCCCTTTCCTCTTGAGACTGAATGATGTCTAATCTAATCTAAGGAAACAGTGTACCCATATGAAGTGGGCAGAAGGAGATGGAACAGGGCTACTGAAGGAGCTGTTACAGAAGAAACAATCCCAGGAGATAGGCAGTTATTGTTTAGCTAGCAAAATAGACCATTTGTGTGTTCCTCTACTCCCTTTTTTGGACTCTCTTGTGGTCCAACTCCCTAGGCTTTCTCCAACTCTAGCAGAAGGCAGAATATTTAAGCCCCTTCCAAACGAACTTAAGCTCCCACTTGGAAGATGGAAAAGCCAACATGTCAAGAGCTTACATTTCTAACTACCAAAGGCTCAAATGCTTGAGTACTGTATCTTCAGTACATTAGGGTACATCTCTAGACTCATCAGACTTAACCCCACCTGCATGTTTGCTGAAGCCATGATAAAGAAACATATCACTACCTTCTCTGGATGGAAAAAATGACCTAGAATAAGGTGTACCTCTGTCATAGACAGCGAAGGAACCCTCCTCAGAGTAGGACTCCACATACCAGGTTTTGAAGCTGTCTGAAGGAGATTGGAAATAACCATTCAATAAAATAAAGGACAAGACAAGAGGAGGAGTGGGGGGAAAGCCAGGGAGGCGAGAGAGAATAGGCACATGACCGCAGTGGCCTGAAACCATTAAATGCTCTAATCCAAGTTTCAGCAAACTGGAATGCCTGTACTAGAATAAACACTGGTCCATATCCAAAGTTATTTTTCCCAGTACAGTTCCTCATCATGAATGCAAAAACGGTTCCCGAAAGGCTGCAGTTACATTTTTCTAGAAAACAGATTTTTTTTGTTGCTGCAAACAGTAGTAGATGAGATACTTTCTGGGAACATTTTGCTCGTAGATTTTGGGTGTTTTTGAATTACACATGATTAAGCTCTATAATGGAAATAGACGTAAACACTCTCAGTGGAAGAGGTATCAAGGCCAAACCTTTAGCCAAGACACAGTGGTAAAATGATGGACTAACCCATCTGTCTTTTGCTTCAAAGTCAAGAAACCCAGTGTGATATAATGGTCAAAAGTGTCAAGAGGAAGATGCAGGAAACTGGGTTCAAATCCCCACTTCACCATAGGAACTCACGGGGGGTGGCAATGACAAACCATCACTTGAACAGCTAACATACCTCGAAAACTTCATTAGGGTCTCCATAAGCGCTGTCAAGTTGCTGCTGACTCAACAATAAAAGATACAATCAGTGGCTATTTCATAAAAATGCATTTTGGCACTACAGGCAGATACGGGCTAACCTCAATAAAGAGCTACAATTTGCCTTGTCTCTGAACCTCATTTCTAGGCTGAATGAATCTCCGCTCACTTGCAGCAAGTACCATATTTTTCAGTGTATAAGACGCCCCCATGTATAAGACGCCCCCCACTTTTCTAACCCAAAAGTAAGAAATCTAAGCGGGACTTAGCAAGTGTAGGGGGAAAGGGATCAAAGCCCTGCAGGATCACTTTGATCCCTGCTTTCCCTTCGTCCTGTTTTTGTTCTCTTATACTTCCATGTATAAGACAACCCTCAATTTTTATTCTAGATTTTAGACAAAAGTATAGTCTTATGCACGGAAAAATACGGTAATATGGATTGAACTGTTGTGATCTGCTCTTATACACAGAAAAATACGGTAATAGGATTGAACTGTTGTGATCTGAATTCATGCTACCAATTCTGAGCCCCCTGTTTTTAAAGAATCTCTTTTAGTTTCCTTCCATCCTGGGATAGCATTTGAAGAAATTTATGAGATGCTAGAAAACAGCTAAGTTAAGAACCTGGGTTCTGTTGTTCTTTCATCTACCCAGCTGGATAGCTCATGGGTTTAGGTATGTGGTTGGGAGTTCGATTCTCCACTATGCCTCCTTTGAGTGCAGCCAGCTTGTGTGGCTTTAGGGAAGCTGCACAGTCACAGAGCTGTCCTCAAAACAAAGGAACACTTCTTTCTATTCTTTTCCTAGAAAACCCTGGGAAGGGTCACCGTCAATCAGAATGGACTTGACAGCATGCAAGTTATTACTATTATTATCATTATTCCTTCATCTAACTGCTCAATACCCACCATTTCTGCTAGAAGCATATCTTCGTTCCCAAACAAACTCTTACAAATAGAAAATAATTCATGTTTAAACTGGGTTACCCTTGCATGTAACTTCCCAGACTTTGTATGCTTCTCGCTGCTAAACTTTAGACCACAAGCTCCTTTGATAGCAACTGTCTTTTCTGCTGTGCATATGGAAAGAACGTCCTGCCCCACAAAAAATATTTTCTAATCTAAGCAGGATTTCCACCACCTTTCCTTTGCTATGTCTCAGGTTGCTGTTGAGAAAGAAGGGCGAGGAAGAGAAGCAGCCTTACCAAATAGTCAGCAGGAAAATCTGCAAGATTGTTCGCAACTCTACTATCAAGGACAGCTGAATCCTCTTTCTGCAAAGTAAAACAACACACATACACACACATAAATTCTTTCAAGCAAATACCTATAAAACTACAGAGGTACACTGCCCTGGGTTCTTTTTAAGGAAAAAGGCAGAATAAAAATGTTTTAGAATGAATGAATGAATGAATGAATGAATGAATGAATGAATGAATGAATGAATGAATGAATGAATGAATGAATGAATGAATGAATGAATGAATGAATGAAAGTTTTGCAAAAACATCAAATAAAGCCTCTAAACTAGGTATTGATTATGCTCGACGACCATCAGTTGTTTTTTTCTTGTTGATTTAAATGATGGTGGTATTGATTATGCTCGACGACCATCAGTTCAGGTTTTTGTCTTGTTGATTTAAATGATGGCTGTTGAACTGTGAACCATATCTAGAAACAGGGATATATTGTGCTACCATCTCAAAGGCATGGAGGACTTAGGTGAGACTTTCAGTTCCCAGAATCGAGTGTGTCTCATGTCATCACTTAGTCCTTTACAGCCAGATAATGTAGCTGAGTATGTCTGCATGGACAGCTTCCTTCCTACAGGAGATGGGATTCTCAAAGACAGAATTTTAAGCTCCTACGGAACGAGAGGAATTGTCTTGGATTACTGCATACAGTACTTTAGTTTCTTGATTCACCTCTCTTCAACACAAGAATGCTGCGAATATGAAAAATACTTACCTGAAATCCATTCCATATCCCTCAGATTCTAGTGAATTCCAACAGCAGGGGTAAATTGGCACATTCTCCAATAATGTTCTCCAAAGCTGTTTATTAATTATCACACACCTATCTCCATACAAACCACAGACTTCGCCTGCCTGAAGTCATTCAAATTATTGCTCGTCCTACACTTAATCTCTGACACCTTAGCTCAGAAGGAGCTCATGTCATATTGCCCATCTTGCTGTACCTTTCCCCCACCCCAAAACCCAACTGTGTCCCCTAATCTGGCTGGCAAAAGAGAATCAACGTAGGGGGAACAGGCAAGCGGGAGTAAGACCTTACAGGGCAGAGGTGGTCTTGATTTTACCTCCAGGGTAGACTGGCCTCGGACAGCTCTCATGACAGCCGGGTCTCCAAGGTCCTCTGGTTCTTCAGCTTCTCCATTGGTTGAATCATCCTCTTGTTCTGCCATGGCTACTTCCTCCTCCGCATCGTAAGTAAACTGTGCCTCGGTCTGAAGGCTTCCGTCATCTTCCAGATCTTCTGCCATGGGCTCTGTCTCCACATCTTTGGATTTCTCCTCTTCAACTTTGGGTTGCTGCTCTCCACCAGCAGCTACCACCATCTCTTCCCCAAGTTCATCTCCAACAGCATGCTCTGGCTCCTTCACCAGAGACTTTGCCCCGTTTTCTTCCAGGTAAGCTTTATTGAGGAGAGAACAAGATTCCTGATCAGTGGCAGAAACAATATTTAGGGCTGAAGCCGGAGACATTGTTGCTCTCACTGGGTCACAGGCACAAAATACTGCAGTCTCAGATTCTTAAAATCCCATAATAATGCATTCGCCTTAACAGTAAACGAAACTGTCGTTTGCAAAATTATCACATAAAATAAAATCTGTTCCCACAAACCAACCACAGGTTGCTAGCCCACCGCTCACCACAAACAGAAGCCATTGTTTGCCACTGCGGTATGAACTATGTCTTGTTTAAACTACTGCATGCATTAAACCGTAACCCCAAATTGTGATCTGCCTTGAAACAGAACTGACAAACGAGACAGCAAAGAAACAGCAAAGAATTAAAAATAGCAGAGGAAACTACCAAATAATAGCATCATGTAAAAGGGAGGCTTGGTCTTCTTGGGAACCTCAAAAAGCTGGAAGTTAGAAGCCCAGAAAGGCCAGAACTGGCCCAAGGCTCTGTGCTTTCCTGATTTACATTATGTGGAGATTGCCTTGTTTTAAAAAACAAATCTTATGCAACTATGAAAGGATAGTGAATAATTCCAGTGCAATTGACAACAAACACAGCTGTGTGTACAACAGGCCTCTGTAGATGCAGAGAAACACAAACAAACAAGGTGTTGGCTGCTATTTGTTTATTATAATACAGCATTTCACTGTTTGAGGAGACATTTTATGAAGGGCTCTGAAGTGTATTTAATTTTGTAAATAATGACTACATTTTTGCGGAGGAAACCTTTAAATCATCAGATACTGTTATTGGCCAAAGCAGCTGTATCACTTTCCACACGTTTACTTCTTTTAAGTAAGAAATTGTCCTAGGACAAGATATTGATTCCATAGCTTGCAACCTTTTATAACCGCCCAAATGTTTGGCAATATCTCAAAGCAAAATCTCTCATTGTGCAGGAAAATGTGAGGTTGTTTTTTTTTTTTACTTTCAGTTCTGGAACTGTCAAAACCAAACTGAAATCTGTAATTACATCCCTATCTTACAGACATCGTTTAAGCGAGGCTTCAACAATTTGTGATCTAGCAACCTGCCGTCATGGCCCCCAATGCCGCCCCCCCATCACGGCACCAAGCAGGAGCCTTAAGTGGCGTGTGTATCGCATATAGCAGTCTGTACTGTATGGCTCATGGATTATGTTGGTCTTAATACACGGATGGCAACTGTGTGGCATCCCTAGAGATTCCCAGGCTGCAACCCACCCACTCCCATTCTCTCAGCTGAGAAACCAGGGGCTTATGGGAGCTGTAGTCCAGCAACACCCAGAGGTTTTTGCATATCAGGCATAGCGGGTAACGAGTTGTGTCGCCTTACTTTAAATTAAACCTGGAATAATACTCTTTACAGTGGACCCTCGACTTACAGACGGCTCGACTTACAGACTTTTCGAGTTAGACTTCTCTGGCTGCAAAATTTAGATTCGACTTGCAGCCGGAGAATCGACTTACAGACCAGAAAAAACCCAAAATGGAACAAAAATAGAATAAAAACCGCCGGTTATGGGATTAATCGGTTTTCAATGCATTGTAGGTCAATGGAGATTCGACCTACAGACTTTTCGACTTGCAGACACCATTCCAATACGGATTAATTCTGTAAGTAGAGGGTCCACTGTATATTAAAAGCTCAGCTGGAGTCATGAAGTGCTTCTTTGGTTTGTCATGAACTACTGACAACTGATTCTGTAAAGAATTTTTAGGGTTACTGCCATTTGTTTTAATATCTCTATTTTTATTTTTGTTTTCTATTTTAAGAGTTGTAACCCACCCGGAGTAGCGCTTTGATACAAACTGAATGAACTAATTAATGAATGAGGGCTTTTTCAGACAAGCGTTTATTTAAAGGCAGTTAAAACAAAGTACAGTACATAATAAAAAGTTCCTTTTTCTAGTTCTTAATTCTGATTTTTCTGCCACTGACTCTAGTTTGTCATGCAATGGATCATAGGCCTTGTCCGTGTGAAATGTGGCAGAAAGCTTCCTTACATTAGTTATACCTGTGATGTCCAAGGATTCTTTAAATTGTTTATTTATCTAAAGATAGGTTAGCTAGCCAGTGCTTTGACTGATTTATTTGTATATGAACGCAAATATTGTTTTGTATTTATTTCTTGTTTGTATGCTTTATGGTAGATTGCCCAGGGTGTGTGTTGCTCTATGGGGCAGTACACAACTTGAAATAATAAATAAAATAAATAAATGCATGACCGTAAAAGAATCTCTTTTTGTAGTCTCCTAGGAAATGCCAGAAATATCTCTGCATATGCTTCCGAAGAATAACCTTCCTCCTTCCTGTATAACTGTGAGCGTTTCATGGACCAGGATGGAAGGGCCCTTACCCCGAAACTCTTGGTTGGCCACTGCTCTGAGCTGTCACTACCCTAATTTTCTTTTCTTTTACAGAACTGAGAAAATGCTGTCGAAAGATCATATAGAATGTGAAAGAAAACTTTTTTAGGAATGATCAAGATGGGCTGAAAAGGATTACAGGAAGAAAAGTTTTGAAGGAATTTGGAATCCTTTTACAACATGTATTTACTAAAAATATATATTCCTGGAGGTGGTGGGTTACACTGTATTAGTCATTTATGCCTTTGTTATTGTTTGATGTATAGTTTTGTGTGCCTTTTTAAAAAATATTATTAAATAGACCTCTTGTGTAACTTAAGGGTATTTTTATTTAACGGCATTGTTTTATTCTGTGTTTTACCTGTGGTTTTTCATATAGCTCATTCTGAGTTTGAATACGATATGCCATGTAACTTTTTTTTAAAGTATCGTAATTTATTTCGCTTTTAACTTTGTTGCTTTTAATATGGTAAACAGCCTCAGCTCCTTCGGGAGAAAGGTGGCATATAAGTATTTTAAAATAATAAGAAACAGAAGAAATTTAAGTCATCTGTGTTTTACCTGTGGTTTTTCATATAGCTCATTCTGAGTTTGAATACGATATGCCATGTAACTTTTTTTTAAAGTATCGTAATTTATTTCGCTTTTAACTTTGTTGCTTTTAATATGGTAAACAGCCTCAGCTCCTTCGGGAGAAAGGTGGCATATAAGTATTTTAAAATAATAAGAAACAGAAGAAATTTAAGTCACTACCAAAATTAAATAAATTTAAAAAAAATGTTATTACAGAAATTAAGTAACTTAATAGATAAAAATGCGAATTATTACAGAAATTAAATAACAAA